CAAGTCTACGGAGTGAATCATGAGATTCACGACGTGAGTCTTATGACACTCACGACGTGAGTCTTATGACACTCACGACGTGAGTGTCATAAAAACTTACTATAAATAGCATGCGAGCCATTCCGAAAATCTCACACCTTTCTTCATTTCTTCTATCAAAACTTTCTCTCTCTAAGGGTTTTAACCCTCCCCTAAGCCTAGGTGATCCCCTACCACCCAAAGGAAGCCCCGAGGCTCCCGGAGTCCTGAGAAAAAGAGTCTTTCGGTTTCGAAACGTTGCTCCAAATAAAGTCCGGTTTCTTTAAAATCCGCTGTAAGTGAACTACGCTTACGCAATTTTTAATATAGCTTTCAAATAATTATAGTAATGTTATTAGGTCCTTAAAATAATTATTTGGGCTATTATTATGACTTATATTGAATGTTATTTAACGCTTATATTATAATAATAATAATAATAATAATAATAATAGCTAAACTATTAATTAGTCACGGTTGACGTTAGACTAAACCCTAGTGGAATTGATACTAGGTTTTATCGAAGGAAAATTGTTTTGAGAGTATCGAAGCGTTGTCCGAGTGCTGAGTCACCACCTACTCAAGTGAGTGTATAGTCACTTTCACCTTACACATATATATGAAGTATTTTCTTTAAAATACGTGCTATGTGTAATTATATTAATTGTTTAATTAAGGTGACTGTTGAATAGATGTTTTATACAAGTTTTAAACTGTATATGTATTTTTATCTACAAATATATATGGTAAAACATGGGTAGATGAATTAGATGATGTGTGATGAAATAAAAGGTGATGAGAGGTATCGATGTTTAAGATGATCTAGTCATCTAGCAGAGTATAGACAACGGTCACAGACTATTTTAGATAGTCTAGTGGAACGTTAGCAGACTTGTAATCGGTAGGTGTGTTTGAACTATATGTTCATAAGGTATTCTTGAACTATATGTTCATTAGGTGTTTTTGAACTATGTGTTCATCCGTTAGTTCTTCTTTTTGACACTATTACGTGTCGGGGTATGGGAGCGTACGGGAGTACTTTATTAGTATTTTCCCTATACCTTTATTTTGAAGAGATTTGGAGTCTTTGTTTCTTTTATGAAGTGATCGGACGAGCTTCATTAATCAGTGTTTCCATTCTCGATGCCGGATAGGAGTGAGTCTGGGGGTTATATACCTCACGATATTCAGACCACAGCCTAGGCATTAGTCAGCGTTTCCATTGCTGGATAGGGTGCGTCTGGGGGTTATATACCTCATGATATTCAGACCACAGCCTAGGCATTAATAATTACCCCTGACTTAATTGTATGGTGGTTCTTTCTTTTACGAACAAAGGTTCGTGGTTAAACTTATTCCATTCATTTGATGTATTCTTCGATCCTCGTTTGCTGCTAGGCAATTTTCGAAGCAGTTTCGTTAATTGGTTGTTCATATCGATCCTTTAGGCTAGATTTAATAAGATCACTGTATAGGATCAGTATGTGGGGAACGACGTTGTTAGTGCTTGTAATATAAACCTTGAGCAGCGATGGACTTGGTGCCTATTCCTTAGGATGAATCCTTAGTAATGAGTGATAGTTGATTTTTAGGGTAAATCCTTAAGAAATGAATAAGATAATTGGGATTGGGTAATTGGGTTGATTGTTTGATGTTTAAGCATAATAAATTTATTTATTGTGAGGTAAAACCCCTATATGCTCACTAGGCTCCTGACCCACTCAATTTAATTGTATCACAGGTATCGATACGAAGTTGCTTTACACTAAGAGATTAAGGAGATATAGATCACTAGTGAAATGAATGTAAGTTCTGTTTATGCTTATGTTTCTGTATTGACGATGACATCTCAAATGTTTTAAAATGAATAAAATACGTTTCTTCGGAAATGCTTTGATAACGTATTTATCGTGTTTTTCTGGGAATAAATTCCGCAACATTTTTATTAAAAGAGGTACTCTGGTTTTCATAAAGCATAAACAAAATCGGTCTTTTCTGGCTGTGAAATTAGGGATGTCGCAGAATCTCCTTAACAACGGAGTGTGGGCGGGGCCCACAAAACCAAGTACTTCGTTCATCCGGGTTCCGACAAAATGTACCTAGATCTCAAACAACATTATTGGTGGTCGAATATGAAAGTTGAAATAGCTACCTACGTGAGCAAGTGTCTGACTTGCGCTAAAGTAAAGGTAAAGTATTAGAAGCCCTCGGGTCTACTACAACAACCAGAAATACCCGAGTGGAAATGGGAACGGATAACGATGGATTTCATAACTAATTTACCCAGGACAACGGGTGAACTTGACACCATTTGGGTCATCGTGGACCGATTAACCAAATCCGCTCATTTCCTGTGAATAAGGGAAACTGATAAAATGAAAAAGTTAACCAGGATCTACATAAAGGAGAATGTGATATTCCACTGCGTTCCAATATCTATTATCTTAGACAGAGATAGTATATTTACCTCTCGGTTTCTGCAGTCGCTTAGGAGATCATTGGGGACCCAGCTCAATATGAGCACCTAGGGCTGTAAACGAACCAAACGAACACGAACAAGGTCTTGTTCATGTTTGTTCATTTAAGTTAGTCGAACAACAAACGAACACGAACGGATAAACGAACGAGATTTTCTTGTCCATGTTCGTTCGTTTAACAAATTACTTTGTTCATGTTCGTTCATTTATGTTCGTGAACATGCTAAACGAACATAAACGAACAAAGATTTAAAAAAAAACACACACACACACAATTGAACATATATGAACATAAACGAACATATAATATAGCAATATAATAAAAAATAATTGAATATAGATGAATATAAATAAACATAAACGAACGTAAATGAACATCATAAACGAACGTTCACGAACATAAATGAACGAACGAGACCATTGTTCATGTTCGTTCATTTAACTAAACGAACGATAATTTTTGTTCATGTTCGTTCATTTATTAAATAAACGAACATAAACGAACTTCCCGCCGAACAGTTCACGAACGGTTCGCCGAACGTTCAGTTCGTTTACAGCCGTATGAGCACCGCCTACCATCCCCGGACAGATGGACAGAGTAAGAGGACCATCCAAACCTTAGAAGATATGTTAAGAGCATGTGTGATAGACTTCGGCAAAGCATGGGATGTCCACTTGCCACTGATTGAATTCTCGTACAACAATAGCTATCACACAAGCATCAAGGTCGCTCCCTTCGAGGCCCTATACGGACGAAAATGTTGATCACCTATTTGTTAGGCGGAGGTAGGAGACACACAATTGGCGAAGAGATTGGTACCCAAAAGCACTCTAATCGGTCCTGAAATCATCAGAGAAGCAACTGAGAAGATCATCCAGATTAGGGAATGACTAAAAGCGTCAAGGGACAGACAAAAGAGCTACGCGGATAAAAGGTGAAAGCCTTTGGAATTTCAAGTAGGTGATCGCGTACTGCTAAAAGTCTCTCCTTGGAAAGAGATGATACGCTTTGGGAAGCGTGGAAAGCTGAACCCAAGATACATTGGACCATTCGAAATCCTTGTCCGGATTGCTCCGGTGGCTTACAAGCTACAGTTACCACCAGAACTCAACAATTTCATGTGTCAAACCTGAAGAAATGCTTATATGACGAAACTCTCGTTGTCCCGCTGGACGAGATTGAAGTGAATGAAAATCTCCATTTCGTCGAGGAACCCATGCAGATAATGGATAAGGAGGTGAAACGAACAAAGCAAAGTTGCATTCACATTGTAAAGGTCCGATGGAGTACCAAACGAGAACCTAAGTGCACCTGAGAACGCGAAGACCAAATGATGCAGAAGTACCCCCATCTTTTCCCTATTTCTTGAAGGCTACTTTAGAACGAATTTCAGGACGAAATTCCCTCTAATGGGAGGGGGGATGATGTCACAACTAGCAAAATTAAGGTTGAGATATGTAACCTTGCTGCATCAAATTAGTGAAATTCAAACTACAATGTTATATGAATTCATACGTGCATACATTTAGAATCAAGTTGAAATAGCCACTTGCAAGCCCAAAACTTGATCCAATAGCTAAGCATAATCTATTTTGGGCCTTTGCTTAGAGTTCTCAGCCCAATTACTCAAGGTCGAAAACTCCCATCATTAGGACTTATTGGACCAAAAACCCTTTATTGGGCCCAACTAAGCCCAAGAGCCCGTACACACTTCAACAACCGAAAACATTTCCCTTGGGCTTCCCTTTGACCAAAAACTCCCTTATTGGGCCAAAGTAATCCTGAAGGCCCATGCTCACTCGTGTATCTTATGCTCCAGTTCCACATGTTCCTTCTACTCCATTTACTCTTATTCAAAATGATATCTGGGGACCATCTAGAATTACTACATCATGTGGAAGAAAATTGTTTGTAACCTTTATTGATGATCACTCATGAACAACTTGGTTTATTTATTGCGAGATAAATCGGAAGTCGCTCAAATTTTTCAAGCATTTCACAAAATGATACATACTCAATTACAAACATATATTTGAATTTTAAGAACCAATAATGGCATTCCATTCTTGGCAACTTTCTTTTAAAAAATGGCATCACTCATCAAAGCTCGTGTGTTGATACACCATAACAAAATGGTTTCTTGGAAAGAAAAAATAGACATTTTCTTGAGGTTGCTCGTGCTCTTATGTTCACCATGCATGTTCCTAAATACTTGTGGGTTGATGCAGTTCTCACTGCGACCTACCTCATAAATCATCTACCTAGCCGTCCACTAAAATTTCAAACTCCACTAAATGTCCTAAAAAATCTACACCTTGTTTTTCGAATAGTAACCCGCTTCCGCTAAAAACATTTGGTTGCTAAGCCTTTATCCATATTCACGAACATAATCGCAGCAAATTAGATCCTCGAGCTATCAAAACAGTATTTGTTGGTTACTCTTTGACACAGATTCACATACATTCATATTGTTATAATTTCCTACAATGTTATCAAATTACATGAAATTAACAAAGAAATCGACATTGTATATGTTAAACGAGTAAACTAATTGAGCTTCGCTTCCGCTAAAAACATTTGGCTGCCAAGCCTTTATCCATATTCACGGACATAATCACAGCAAATTAGATCCTCGAGCTATCAAAATTGTATTTGTTGGTTACTCTTCGACACACATTCACATACATTCATATTGTTATAATTTCCTACAATGTTATCAAATTACATGAAATTAGCAAAGACATCGACATTGTATATGTTTAAACGAGTAAACTAATTGAACTTGCAATAAGAAAAAAAATATAAAAAATATAAAAAATAAATAAATAAATAAAAGATGAAATCAGCAGAAGACATGGATTTTGTACCGAGTTTGCAAGAAAAACGTTTAAAAGTTACCACTTACATTATGCGTTTATGTAACTGTGTCGGGTTGAGGAAAACTTTATGTGACATCGTTGCCTTGATGTGTTGTACAAGAGGTCGGGGTTCTGCATCGATGATCGGAGTGGAGGCCAAGCTAAGCTGGCGAACAATGGTACCAACTAAAAGAAACATGGATGTCGATTGCAAGGTGAACTGGAAAAATGCAAGTTAGGAGTGGGAATCGATTACAAAGTTACAATCTCGATTTCTTAGCTAATTTCATGTTTAACTTATTTAATGTGATTTGATAACATTGTAGGATGTTATAACAGTATAAATGTATGTGAATATGTTCATTCTATCAAATTTTGTTGAGCGTTAGACTATTGAATGTGATAACACTATAAATATATAGTTGTTCATCTGTTAACATGGTTTGTTAATTGATAACAGTATGAATATATTTCATACTGTAAATTTGTTTATATAATTTCATGTAATCGGATAACATTGTAGGGTCGTTATATCTTAACATGGTTCCATTAATTATATGATTTTACGGGTTGTTTATTTGAGCCTTAAATTTTAGTTAGCACTTATTAGTCTTTTTGTCGATGTAAAAACTAATACTAGGTTAGCTATTAACTTAAATTGATTTCACATTCTATTTTAATGGTTAATTTTATTGTTTGTTTATTTTCAATGGATATGAATGCAAACAGTCCAAATCCTACTAGAATTACAAGCAATAAATGTGCAGGAGGTTCATGTTCTAATCAAGTAAATAACTCGACAAGATGAGATGCATATTGATGATACAATCAAAAAAAAAAAGCAACACCTTCACCAGCATGGGCCCATTTTAAAATATTTAATATGAATTGTGAAGAAACAAAATGCAAGCATTACCCTAAAGTATTTGGTTGCTATATTGGGTGAACATAGCAAGAATGGTACAAAACATTTACTCGACCACCTTCAGATACTTGTCAATCTATCTTAGTGTAAGAAAAAAATGGATGGTACTACAACTTATTTCTCAAAAAATATATTAAATGTTGATACATCAAGGAAATATTTGGCTGAAATGATCATCGTACAGAGATATCCACTTTCAAATGTAGAACATCATGGATTTAGAAAGTTTATAGGAAGTCTTCAACCTTTGTTTAAAGTTCTTTATCGAAACATCATCAAGAGCGACACAACAAGTACTTATGATTACGAAAAGGATAAAACTACTACTTATTTCTATTTGCTTAAACGATGTCATAAACTTAATTTATGGTGTAGCCTGCGTAAGGTTTTAATTTGTCATTATTCTACCATAGTTTTTTCCAAACCTTGTTTTTGGTGCAGATTTCGAGTTTTTGGGTCTATATCAAGTTTCAAGTTTAGCGTCGGTTCGGGAGAATTTTCAACCCGATAAAGCATCCTGATAAGAAACTCGTCGGGTTGGGAACAAATTTTCATATCAGGTGTCCCGTCTCCGAACCCATCTCTTTGCAATTCCTAATCCTCCACCTAGCCTCCTCCTGACCCAAACTCTTAGTCTCGACTCTAGGACTTCACCAATTCAATTCGAAATTTTGAAATTTTCATAAGTGCAAATTTGATCTCATGGTCTTCCTAAAAGCGTACAAAGATTCCTCTCCCCTATACGAAATTTGAGTGCACAAGTTTGGCAAATATTATTTCTAACATTGCATGGTTTCAATCTCTTTTCTCAAAACTTTGTGTTCCTCCAAACCTATGGTGCTATAACGTTGGACCCATTACGTTGTTTCATGCCATAAAAAACATATAGATGTCGATAATCTCTCTACTAAACCACTATCAAGAACATCTATACCCCATATCGATACAATTGTGGCCACCAAACCGCTACCCTCCCCTCGATTTTCTTTACTCTGTATCAAGCTTCATGTTGGTAAACTCCATTCATTTGAGAGACCATATCAAAACTAGTATGCGTCGTCATATTTATTGTATATATGGTTCTTTAGAGTGTTAGGGTTTAGGTGTACTCCCTATTTTATATCATAGTGTATAGCAAAGAAGAGATTTCCTAAACCTAACTGCTTTCTACTAAGTTCATAATACAAAACTCAAAAGGGCCACAATACATGATGATAGCAACTAAGGTACAATGAACCAAAAAAGATCTTGAATTAGTATTAAATGTTTTGTTCGATTCCTATGAAGTTAAAGGATATGATAATTAAGTATTCAACCATAACGGATGGGCAACTTAACTAAAAGAATTAAGTTTCCACCATCAATCTGACAGGATAATTAATTACCCATAAATCAGAAGCTTTTATTATCATTATATCCTATGCAAAGGAGTTATCCAGACAATTCACCCTTGAAACATTATATCTCAAGTGTTAAATTCCAACATTGCACATGAATTGTAATTGATAAAAGCAACAATGTCAGAAGCACGCTTACCAGTCATCTTCATGATACAGATCACAGGTGATGCCTAAAGAAAAGATGTCCACCCCCAATATATCAATCATCCTGAACACAAACAAAGAACAAGTTAGATTCAGCAACAATGTTACGAATTTAACCTCGAAACGAAAAAGTAAAATGCAACAAAAACAATCAAACCTTGAATCTTTCCCTTTCCTGTTCAAATCAATAGCAATCAGCTCTGCAAATCACACCCAATGCAACTGAAACAACAATGGGCACCACCACCAAAGACAATCTTCACCAAACTGAGTTTGCAACAGAACATGTTATTCACACATGAATCGAAAGGGCAATGACCTCGCGTGAAATCACTCAATCGAGAATAAAAAGAATTCATGATCGAGATATGAATACCTTGATATCAGAATCAGGGGTATATGGGAGATCGTAAAGCAAACATGGATTGATTAATTGACATGCTAAGGAAATCTATAAACTATTACTGGGTATGCAGAAATCTAAGATGCACCCAAGGATAACATTTTACACAAATTACCCTAAAAAGAGAACAATGTACTACAGCCTCTCTGTCTCTCACTCTCTTCCTCCTCACTTCTTCGCCTTCCTAGTTGCAGTAACTTTCTTCGCTATTGCTGGTTTGGGTTTCAAGCTCTTCGCGGACGCCTTCTTCACCGGTGCCTTCTTCGACGCAGGCTTTGGAGCGGCAGCGGCTTTTTTCCCTGGGATCGATTTAGCTGCTGTCTTTGCTACTTTAGCCGGTTTGGCAACAGTCTTGGGCTTCGGTTTCGCCTTGGCAGCTACGGCTTTTGGCTTTGCAGCGGGCTTGGCGGCGGCTTTTGGTGCTGCTGGCTTCGCTGCGGCTTTGGGAGCCGCTGTCTTGGGTTTAGCAGCGGGTTTGGCTTTCGCAGCGGGCTTAGCCTTAGCAGCTTTCTTCGGTTTCGCTGCTGTTTTTGCCTTTGGAGCTGCCTTGGGCTTGGCAGCGGCCTTCTTCTTAGCGGGCGCTTTTTTCGCAGCTGTCTTTGCCTTTGTTGCAGGTTTCTTCTTCGCCGGAGCACCTGTTGCCGTAGCTTTTGCCGGTAGCTTGTAGGAAGCCTTGACCTTCACTAGTTTACCAGCAGCAACGAATTTCTTCAATTGGGTGTATAAAAGCTTCTTAAAATTCGCCGGAAGATTCTTTTGTTTCCCCTCGATGAACTTAGTGATCGCATACTGGCTGGAACCAGTCCTCTCCTTCAGCGTAACAATGGCATCCTTAATCATCTGTAAACACAATTAATCACGAACTAACTACTAATCACAGAGATCAAATCATAACTGAACAATTTAAAAAGACAACAAATTGAAAACAATTCACACCTCGAAGTATGTTGGATGAAGAGCAGGACTTCTAGGTTTTCGGTTTGCATATGGTTTCTTTGCTTTCTTTGGTTTTTCTTCAGCTGCCGGGACCTCAGGTTTCTCCTCCTGTGGGGCAGCGTCAGTCGTAACGACTTCCGGTGCAGTGGGCTCCGTCGCAACAATTGGTTCTTCAGTCGCCATCGCCGTTGGGTTTGGAATTCAAAGCAAGCGCTGAAAACTTAATTTAGATCTGGAAATGCTAATCGAACTGAGATTGATTGCGATGATGGAATGTAGCGTCTGAGTGACAAAGATGAGTTTGTGGGGATTTAAATAATAAGGAGCATGAGGGACATATCTAAAAGCAGCGTTTTGATTGGTCCATATAGGGGTCACACGGATCGGACACCTAACTGGAATTTAAACATGAGCTGTTAGATTATTCACCATCAACGGCTTAGAACGACTCTTGTGAAGGTAGAGATGAAGTTCAGATGGAATGTATTATTCATTTTGGTGTGTTTCTATGCTCAATTGATTTGACCATAACTGTAATTTTACTTGATGAAATTCGATGAAATTTTTTTGGGTTTGTAGATATAGAAGTTAGCTTTATGTCAAGTATTTTTATGGGTGCTGAAGTTTAGCGGATTGAGAGAGATTCGATTTGATATGTGCAATGGTAAAAAATGGTATCTATTTAGAGTTATTGATGTTCTCAAGTGTTTTCAAGTCAATGCTTTCGTTTGATTTGTGAGTTTGACATTAGGTTGGATGCTAACTATATTGGGGAGTCCATAGAATCAAGTATTGTCCAAATCGGATAAGATATGAATATAGAAATATACAATTAAATGTGAAGATGAACAGGTTTTTTGATTGTGATTAAGTAATATTATTTGTATTGATATTTGTCATTTTATTGATGGTATCGGTACCGAGTATACTTAATTTTATATGTGTGTATTTAACGTTATTACAATATGAAAAAAACTTTGGCATAAGTCTTGTTTTTACGTTGGTTATTAAAATTTTGATTTTCATGTAAGGTGTTGTTAATAGTTACATGAAACTGTTTCCACGTCATTTTCTAGTGTTTTATGTAGTTCAAATGTTACAAGCATTCCATATTAACAATCAAATAATAGAATTACCTTGTTAGTATGATAAAAAAAAAATCAATATTTTATGACTTTATGGTATAACATTAAACATCGAAAATACAAATATGTAAATTAGATCTACCAAAATTTATAGTTAAGAAGAACCCATGAATGTAAATTAACTTTGTTGCATTCACCTATGTGAAAATGTTTATTTATATAATATTTTGAATATTATCTTGAAATAATTGGCAGATTAAATGAACTGCTTGGTTTTTTTATGATTCGTATGATTTAACTTACAAATGGTTAGTCATTTTGATAGTATGAAGATATATGTGTTTAAATTACATATATGAAGATATATGTGCTTAAATTACATATATGATAAATGTAATATATCGATCTTGAGGGATGAAGTGGTATAAAATACATTCATGTTAAATTTATGTTTTCAATAAATAGTTATAATTATCAAGTTGATTAAAAGGTGCATGTTTAATTTTTTTATGTCATCCTTCTTTACATGTGTTTTCTTGATATAGGTTATGTAACTTACATGAATTGTTCTTTTATTGTATATGTTTCTATTTTGTGATGAGTGATATTTACAAAACTATGATTATATTTGATTAAGACGTTTTAGGATGGGTGTATATTGTCCATGTGGCTGATTAATATCCTATATATATATATATATATATATATATATATATATATATATATATATGTGTGTGTGTGTGTGTTTTGCATTGTCAATATCGTGTACAAAATAGCTATTTATTGGAAATGTTGATACATGTTCTTAATGGTTATATGCTTGAAATACTATATTTATAATATCGACATGATCTCATAAACGATTTGATGTTTTATTGTTGGATGTTTGGAAATGCATTGCGATCAAGTCGGACAATTTCCTTTGGAACTAGAAGTACCTAAAACATTTAAACACAAAAATCATAAGCACACATGTTAATGAGTTCCACATGGTATCGCATATCATACATAACCATAAATATGCAATGCATTTTGTTTCAGTTGTTGGGCCTATGTCAACTCAAGAAAAATGTTATGGGCCAAATCATAAACTTACAATCACTCCTGCAGCGACCTATTTCAGCCAACGGGACTATTTCGTCCCAAGTGAATGCTACTGACAAAATTCTTAGTCTTGCAACACTCCTGCAATTATCATGGTCTTCCCCATAGACTTTAATGCAAACGTAACATCAAGAGTCACAAAGACAACAAGCACATTTTATACCTGGTGTCCTACATAGTATAGTGAGAATACTCATCTCACAAATGCAGTTGACGACTAACAAGCTTGCACAGTCGAATAATAGGTGCTACACACATCCTAACGAATCATACGAGATAACCCCTTAGTCTACCTTTTAAAAGTAGCATTATTACTAAAAGTTAACCATGTCAAAAAATTCAACGGTCAAAGTCAATCCCAACTCACCTCCATGTCGTGGTCACCCATTAGCCATATTATGGCAGCTTCACAACAAAACAATTGTGACCAGACCAGCCATAATGTTGTTCCAGTTGCACATGGACAACTTAATGGATTAAGCTCTCAATATGTTAAGCCTTCAATTCTAACTTTCCAGGATGCTTCTTAAGGACCATAATGGTCTATAAAAATATGAACTTTATGGACATGCACGACTCTCAAAACTCAACCAACTTCTAGATCTAGGAGGTATTAAGCTCAAGGGACCTTGATGATTCATAATGTTTCAAACTTTGTCTCGTCGAACCACTCAAATCATAATTATGAACCCAAAAAATGCATAGAATCCACAATTTACTAAGAATGAACCAAAAAGGTTAAGTCTTGAAGTCTTACAAATGGTTCATAGGGAGGAGTTGTTTGCTTAATCCTTACACTATAATCTTATTCTTATTCCCTTTTTGTACACCAAAAACACCATAATGAGCTTAAAGCTTACAAAAAGGCTAGGGTTGGACAAAATACTTTTTGAGGATGGAGGAAACACTGCTTATCACTTACTTTAAATAAGCCAACATTTTAAGATTTTGCACATCCAACGTCACAACGTCGTGGCCATTGCATGACTACGTCGTGGTGTCTAAATGAAACATGTGTTTCATGCAGAAATGACATGTCCTCATGATCCCTTCACCACATCGTGCCCAACCAATTTTATTAAAATTAACAATTGAAACTCATACCTAAAACCAGGTGTTACACTTCGATATGATAAATATCATTTATAGCCTTTAAAGTTAAAAGACTCAAACGAATGTCCTTATTAGAGTTATCACCATGATCAAGATTCTTATCCAAATCAACCAACATGTTATATAAAACAATTTTCTCAATTTCACAAGTCTCCCAGTTAGCATTGTTCCACACTTTGAAAATAGTTTTTCAACACTTGTAACTTCATTTTAAAAGATACCATACCGTTTGAACCACAAACCCCATCATTCCTCCAAGAGTCTTCCACTAATTTACAAAAACCACTAAACATAAGCCAATAATGAAATAAACAAACGATAGTAGGTCCATAATCAATATCTATCTACTTTATAAGACTATTGTAACACCCGTAGATCCGGGCTAGTCAATTAGAGACGTTAAGCGTCAAAAATGACTTTTTGATGGAAGATTATTTTGAAGGAATAATCTTAATTAAGTTATAGTATATGTTACAAGGTTTCCGTGCATATAAAGAACGCCGAAATCCGAGTTATAACGAAGAAGTTATGACCTGTCGAAATTTCGCGACAGAACCGGCACGACACAGCACGACGTAAAAAGTGAATTTACGTTAGAGAAATATTTAGCCTTAGCAATCTAAATGAAAGTCGTATAATACATTAAACCATGAGCGTGCATAAAAAGAACGCTCAAATCTGACTTCGTATGAGGAAGTTATGATTTTTCGAAGTTTCGACTTAGTGGTATGCAGCCCGAATGCTCGATTTGAGACCAAGCGGTTTTTAGCCAAAACAATCTAAATGAGAATTGAAGTTCTCATTAATTGTAGTAAAACGATAAAAAGATAGGCGAAAATGGACGTCGGATGAAGAAGTTATGATTTTATAACGGAGTTTTCCTGTCCCGACCTACTAAAAATAAATAATAAAAATAAAGTCAAAATTAGCCGACGAAGTCAAAACGAAAGTTGTAGATCGTAGTCTCACCTACGCGGGGATATAAAGGGCGTCGAAAACGGAGTTCGTATGAAGAAGATATGAATTTTTGAAGTTTATTTAATAATTTCGATATTAAATTTAAATAAAAATTGGCTGATATTATCCATGGGGGGAGTCACCGGCCTTATCCCCGTTACGCCCCGCGTAAATCGCAGATCAAGCCCCTATAAAAGGAAGTCGAGAGCAGCCGATTCAGTTGCTCATTTCTTCCCGTTTTCTCGCGTTTTTGCATCGTTTTTCGTGCAAAAAATATCCCGAAGCCCCGGTATCATTCCCGATCCCCGAAGCAAGTCCCGAGGCCCCGAAGATCCCGAGAAGTGCAAATCCCGAGCTGAAGCTCTGCCCGCGAGGAGTCCGGTTTTTGTAGAGATCTTCCAGATCTGCTGAGAAATACTACTCCTACGAGCAGTAGTGTTGTCCGATCATCTTCTGATCAAGTGAGTGTATACTACCTTTTATAAACACAATAATAATACAAGTATGGTTTGAGTGTATTAAGTATATTGTTGTTTATATGTGTGAGTGTGTAGTAACTTTCTTCTAACGCATAATTATGAAGTATTTTATACGAAATACGTGTTATGTGTATATATATTGTGGTTTATATGTGTGAATGTGCGGTTACTCTCTTCTAAACACATAATTATAAAGCATTAGCTATGAAATACGTGCTATGCGTTATATATTAATTGTCTATATGAGATGGGGTTGGAATTGATGTTTTTATATGGGTGTTAAATGATTTTAACTATATATGTAATTTATATCTACAAATATGTTGGGTAGAACATGGGTAGATGAAATAGTTGATGTGTGTTGAACGAATGTGATAAGAGAAAGGTGAGGATATAATGGTGATGAGAAACAGGTGATGATAATTAGGTGATGAGAAATAGGTGATGATAGAAAGGTGATGATAATTAGGTAATGATAAATAGGTGATGTGAAATGAGAGGAGATACAATAACCTTGACCGGCGATGTGGAAATTTGGCGAT